TATTTTACCTATGTGTGTATAAAAAGGGTAATGATACCAAACTAATGCTTTATCATAAGTAACGCAGCCAGATTGTTCAAATAATCTTCGTTAAGTTGTATGGGATAAACTCTAGTCACACTTTAAAAAAAAAAAAAGTGAAGTGTGTGTATTTCACATAATTGAGAGTTGCCCATTTTTTATTCATTGTGTGTTCCACGTTTTTAGAGGATGCTGTAGCAGGATCTGTTCAGGCTGTGGGCCCGCAGCCTGGATATATAAAATGGGTGTTAGCGTTATACCTCCCCTACTGAGGTATTTCGGTGCAGTGGGGAGTGCTAGAAGCTCTGTTCCAGTCAAGTGCTACGGACTTGCTGTTGAGGTGGTGTTTTGCTGCTCTTGGGTATAATTACCATGATGTGGTTCTTCATTTGCTCTTGGTCAGCACAGATGTATCTGCTGCCATCAGGATCAACACTGCCCACTCCTTCCTTACTGCCTTTCTGGTGGCAGTTGTGTTCACAGGTGAGCTAACTCTGAGAAGAAAAGCTTTCTGAGAGAAAGCTTATCTTTAATTTTTTTTGGTTAGGTGAACCTCCATATTTATCAGTTTTCTGTCTTGGCTCATTGCACGATTGCTGGTGTGGGCACAAGCAAGATGGTAGGAACGTGGCTTGCTGGGGAGGGAAGCTAGTGGAACCGCTTGTTTCAGTGGTAACTCACGCCTATGTCAGCTTAAAATGACTGTGGAACCACAGCCTTAATTTAGTTAGCTAAATGAAATCGGCTAATTTAGTTAAGTTAAACCCAATTTAATGTAACTTAACTTAAAAACAAATTGCATTTCTGTAAGTTAGTATAAACTGAGTTCCTAGGGGAGCTCAAGTAAACAAAAGCAAATCCCTCTGACAGGTACTGCCATCAGGAGTGGTTAAAGTGGCAGAGGATGTAAACTAGGATGTTGGTTTTGCAACAGCAATTAGCAAGCCAACAAGTTCTGAGCATTCATATGAGGTAAACTTTACTGGTAGGATCACCGGGGCCCTATCCGACAGTGCGCTGTAGAAACATGCAGTGTGGAGAAATGCAGAAGTTTTGGAGTAGGAAAACTAGATTCATCAGTCAATCACAAGAATCTCCCAGGAACTACTAGGAGGAAGGGATATAGATGATCCATTTTTAACTATGTGAACTAGCAGATTGGTTGTTCTTAAAATGCTAACTAGTAGCAAGTCATCTGAAGTACAGTGCTTTCTGTAGCTGAGTATAGTTCTTCACTAATTCTTGCAGGCGTGAATGAACAGTTGCATCTGTTGCTATGGCAGGGGCAGAAACAGAGCGTGGTGATGGATAGTTATATCATGCAGCACATAAACCACCTGTGTCTTGTGATGGCTTTTGAAGCCAGCAAGCTGCCATACTAGAGGCCAACTCCAGGATGAAAAATGGCTTTTTCTGGAACCGGTACAGTTCACTCAGTGCTTGGGAAAAGAAGAAAACTGGTGATTAAGGATGTCACTGAAAGTATGTTTCAAAGAGCAGCGACGGGCAAACTTCAGGGAAGGAGGACACTTCCATAAGTGTCCCAGAGCTGTGGCGAGCCAGCTTGGGGTTGATTAACTCCTTATGATTGCATGCAGCAGTTAAAGGAAGAGTGATAGCCTTGCATTTCCTGAGGCTTGTAGACCTTCACTGCTGCTGAGACTTGGTGGCCTTCCTGTCTGCATTCAGACAGGAGGTGGAATGCAAGTATTGCTTCCACTGCTTCAGTGTCATTAGTCTGCGGCCTCTGTGTAAACCCCCTTTCTTTGAAAGTGAACTATATTGATAACTACAGGTCATGACAAATAGTATGAGAAGCATTGCTAGCAGAAGAAAAGCATGGCTAGAGGGTATGAAAAGCAGGATATGTGACAAGGGCTACTACTATTCTCACAGTACCGATGTCTTTTTGTGTAAGAAAATGAGACTGGATTTATTCGATGTAACTTATTCCTGGCAAGTACGTGTTGGATACCTTTTATCTTGTAATTTTGATTGTTTGTCAAGATGTGTTTGTAGAGTTGAAATTCAGGGTGTAGTTTTGGTTTTTTTTTTTAAGGATTACAGGTTTTTTTCCATTTTCCAGTTTTTTCGCACTTCATTTGTTACTCGTGAAGAGTCAGAATGACTGCTAAGAGAGCTGATCTTTTATCAGCAAATAATTCAGTACTATGTATGAAGTTAGGTGGACTTGACATGTTACTTAGCCAGTGGTTCACAGGGGCAGATGAACCAAGAACTTTTCAGTGACTCTTCTTTCCTCGTAGTGGAAATGAAGGCAAGCTTACTGGCATCGCTTACATGTACAGGTGAACAGCATCACATCTTCTCTGTCATAGGGATCCTCCTGCTCACTGATATTCTGGTTTAGAAAAATTAACTTGAAACATTTTGTTTGCAGGGGGTTACTGAATTATCTACTGACAGGTAGTAGATTGATTTTTTTTTTTTTTTTTTTTTTTTGACTGCAAGATCAACATCTGTCTGAGGGTAAACAAGCAGTGCCTTTTCTGGACTTTAATGGATTTCTGTGCATTCTCACGTCATCTGTGAGAACTTGGTTAAATACCTGGTTTTTGGGGTAGAGACACCTGCTTTATTGTTAGGGGAGCTCTTCAAAAATTATGGGAATATATGGTCTAGAAAATGTTGGCCACCTCCCTTGAGCAGAGTTGTTTGAATGTGATTTCACAGCGTATGTTAGGACCGTAGTAGTTTTGTAGGCTCTGAGGATGGTCTTGGGGCAGGGGAAGCTTCTGCAATTTCCTTTCTGGTGAAAGTGGCAGTTTATACTCAAGAGGTCATCGAATTACAGATTGTAGTGGAGGGGAAGTGCAACATCGGGCATCATTCCGCAGGAGCAGGAGAAGTGTGAGCCGCCAAGGTTGCGCTTGCCTGGGAGAGCTCCGAAGTGTTTTGCAACTGAATAATGGGGGGAGTCAGACATACTCGCTCCATGCTTGAACAGTGGTCAGTGCTGTATGAGAGAGAAGCTTTGGGGTGGAGTAAGGAGTGTGAGGGTTACAGCTCAGGTGGGACAATTCACCCCATTTCAGCATGTGGCTGATGTGATGCACTATTGATGACCAGGAGAAGTTGGAGCAAAGCTTACGGGAGCCGAAGGCGGTATGTAGCACACTGGTTTCATCGAGTCTAGCAATGATACTGGGCGGCTAGTTCATTGATATTTGGCTAGTCGCTGGCTGTTCAGCCCTTTGTACAGGATTGTGCGGCAGTCACCCCAGGTACTGTAACAGTCTCTCTCTTCTCTCAAGTGCATAGTCTTGCCTGGTGGTGGTTTTAATGCGGTTTTACAGAACTATGAATTTAAAAAAAAAAAAATCTGGGCCAGTTTTTATCTCAAAACTTTTGATTCCTACAGACTGCCACTGGAGAAGCAGCATCCAATGTTGTAAGCTGTAATTTAATTCTAATATACAGTTGTTAATTGTTAGAGGGAGTGCTGTGGGTCACGTGCCCAATGACAGTGTCAAGTGACAAGTGCCATGCAACTTGTATTATTGAATTAATATTATTAATAATTCCACTTAATACATAGTTACAGCCCATTATTATTAATTTCTTCTTGAAATAAATTTTTGTAGTATTTTTTACAGTGTGTGTGTTAGGCCAGAGAAGCCTTCTGACCAAGTGATGTTGTCAGAGCTAGTAGTCGAGCACTGTCTCTTTTGAAAGGTAGCAGTTTGCAGCTGAAAATGGTAAGGGACTGCTTGTTAGCACTTCTCAGCTGCATCTGCCTGAGTTTCCATGCATAGCAAGATAGATTAAATGCTGGTAGTGGTTTAGCTAACTTACATTGGAATACAGAAAGAGTGGTTCTTGGGCTAGTCTGCGATATGGAAAGAATATGCTACTTACCATCGGTTCGTTGACTGGTCAGACCATGGGAGAGAAAATACTATAATTTGCTTTAAAAATGTTTTTTTTTAGCTTTTTTCTTTTGTTCCTGGTCTTTCCTGGTCTTCCAAGTTTTCGTTTTCAGGTCCTCTCAAAGCACACTGGGAAGCTCGGTAGCAGAGGTTTTCTTTAGGTTAGTGCTCAGATACAGCCATGAGTTAAGAGCATAAAGATAAGATAGTGCTATTTGTCTAATAAGAATAGACTATATTTCAACAAGCCTTCACTGCTGTTAATACAGTAACTTGTTGATTGAATTATTTGGAGTGTTGTAGCTTGTGTTTCTCCTCTTCAGGGTTTTATTAGATGCAATTAACGTTTCATTCATAAGAATTCTTGCTGTTGTATGTAGTTTGCTCATGCTTGTTGTAAAATGTAGTTTCTGCAGTGTTACCTGAATGATGACTTACTTCTGCTTTTAGTAGGACCAGAAACTTTGTTTAAGTATGGAAAATGAATAGCGCAATCTGTAATAAAGACATGAGCTTTGCTGTAAAGTCGGGAACTTACTATTTGGAGAGTATGAAGGAATATTCAGGCTCTACATCTAGAGTTGAGTTAGTTTTGGAGAAGAAGTAACAATTCCCACAGGATTGGTCTAGCATTTTTACAGTTTGTCGCACAGTTATATGAAGGAAAACAAAAAAAAAGGAAAAAGTTTAGTCTATTAAGTATTTTAAGACTCTAGGTTTGTTGAACTATTTAAAAATGGGCAACTGAAATTATATTGGAACTTCAGTGTAAGTGCTTTTTCTCCGAGTCTGGGATTTGATTGAAAATTATCTTAATCGTTAAGAATCTTACTGTGATATTCTGGAGGAGCTGTATTATAACAGCATTAAGAAGCTTTTTTCCTCTTGTTTTGCAAAGATACATTAAAGTTTCTATGCCTCTATGGTAATTTTTTAAACTAAAGCTTTTTTCCCGTCACCCCGTCAAGCCACTTAAAATAAAATGAAACTTTTTTGATTCCCCTCATATTGGAAGTCAGAGACAAGCAGCTTCTAACTCTGTCTTGCAGCTGTTATATGGGGAAACTTTTTAGCATAAAGAAAAAAGTGTTATGGTAGAGATATGCTAATCTGAAATTTTATCGATCGTTTTTCATTTCTGATTGTCAGATGCACGCTTCTGTATTTCCATAGTATGTTATTTACCAGGCATTTCAATTTTTTTTGTGCATGTGTATTTTTGTTTCAGCCTTTAATCTGGACAATGAACAGCCAGATTATGATATGGACTCTGAGGATGAAACCTTACTGAACAGACTAAATCGGAAGATGGAAATCAAGCCGCTGCAGTTTGAGATAATGGTTGACAGACTTGAAAAAGCCAGTTCTAGTCAGGTATTGTACTGTGTTAAGAAATCACTGAGGCTTTTTGATTTCTGAGTTTTCTGGTGGGGTGGTTCTGGATGGGTTTTTTGATTGTTTTTCAGTTAATTTTATTTCCTACTAACCGGATGAGTGTGTTTGTGTGAGTCTGCAGTTATACAGAAATCACATTGCTGTCTCTTACTGTCAATATTGGTAACTCAGAAAATCTAACAGGTGGGGAGGGAGCTTTTGAGGGCTGGTTGGGGGGAGTTGTTTTTAAATTTTAATTCCTGACCACTGTGTTAGGACAACTTATAATATCTTGTTTTACCTGTGTTGGTATGGAAGAAGCTTGTGGTGATCGATCGGTAGGTGTATAGATTTGGCTGTAAACATGTATGAGAATCCAAATTCTTTGTTTCACTTGGTACTAGTGGACATTGACTTCAGTTGATGTTTGAAGGTTAGAAATGTAGAAGCATAGACAGTGAAGCAAAGCATTTGTTAAGATTGCGCCCTTGTAATAGAAACTGCAGAGATGCAAGAAAGTAAGTTATACTCCAGTTCAGACACGGAGGTTGGTTTCCTTGCTTTAGAAGCAAGCATGTGCTGTGTATTATTTAGTCACTTATTTTATTAGAAGGGTGCCAGTAACTTAATAGTCAGTCCGTGAGGTGTTCCAGGAGGCCAGTGTCTGGAGAAAGGTCTTGAAGCCAAAAACACTACTCAAAAATTACGTCTGAAGGATCGGTTTCTGAAAGTCAAGTTTGAAATAGGTAGAGTTATTTCTTAGTGAGATGGATGTGAAAAATCCATTGCGGGATCTGTAGCTCTGCCTCAGTTACTTAACTTGATTTAGATCAATGCTGTGTGTTAAGAGGCCAAAATGTTGTATTCTCTACATCTTAGAGCAACTTTATCAAGGATTAGGTAAAGATTTTTTACTATGCTAAGAAGATGGGATGTGAAGAAAAAAAATTGTAGAGTACATTGGATGATACTTTTTGAACGTGTGGTACTTCGATCTCTCAGAGCTTTGATGTAGATACCTCTGTTTTGGCTTTCAGTTAAAGTGGTTCTGGTTATCACTTTTCAAGATTAATTTGCATCCTTCTTACGCTGGTTTCATCTTTCATTGCTTGAGTAATGAAGTTAAATTTAAGAACTGAAAGGTGTTTTCCTAAAATGAAATATTATAAGAATATGGATTTTTCTCTGTAGGCAGCTACCCCTTTCTCTTTACCTTAAATGTAAACAACATTGAAGCATTACAGAGGCGAAGAGTATTTTGAACCAGAAAGTGCTTATTCAAGGAAGTCTGTGACAGAAAAGATCTTATGTGTACCTAAAGCATTGTAATTGATTCTTATAACATAGGCTCCCTCTTGAAGGTAAAGTGTGTAAGGAGAAATCCCTCTTTGTACATGAAATTTCTGTGGGACTTCCTGTGTAGTATTTTCTGCCTAACTTCAGGGATTATGGGGGGTGGGTGGGTGTGTGTGTGTTCAAGCTTCTTGTCCTGCTTTTGGGCTACAGAAGAATTTCAGCTGGTGTTGAGTAGTTCTGTCCTGAGCTCTGTGTTAGGAATGGCAAGATAAAAACAACTCTTGCAGCCTACTGGAGCCTGAGAAACAAAGAAGTTTGGCTGCCTGGCAGATTCCTTCCCCACATGGGGTTATAATGCTCTCGAATCCCACGTGGGGCTACTACACATTTCACTTACAGTTATGTGACTTACCTCTGAAATATAAAAGGATGCTGGTGGGAATGCCGTCCTCGCCAAGGGGAGGCTTCCAGGCATTCCTCTTGGGCTTTTTGGTAACCTGTTTTAAGCAAGGAATATAGGGACTCTGCATCCATGTTATACTGGTGGTACTTGCAAAAACAAGCAAGCAGGGTCAAAATTTAACTTTTAAATTCAACTGTGTACTTAAGGCAGAGTCATTTTGTTTTGGTGTTTTTTTTTTTTTTAAGAAGTATGTTAATGGAAAAAAGGGAACGAAGGACAAACAAGACTGAAATCCCAGTGGTGGGATGATACGGGATGATGTTTAAGTTGTGTATTGCTACATACACAATCATATCAACTTTTATCTATAGATAGGGTATGCTGGTGAGTATGTGTGTTTGATTAACCAGGCTAATGTCCCTTCTAGGTAGAACAGATGCAAAATTATTGTTTTAATGCTGCATGAGGTCATAAGCACAGAGGAATTAGTGACTTTTTTTTTTCTTTCCCTTCTTTCTTTTAGAAACAGTTCAATGTTTTTCTAATTCTACTGTAGATTGCAAGGGTTTTGTTCCATTTGGGCTGGAATTAACTCTTACATAGTAGCAGTGGTTGCACTTAGATATCCTTGTTTTTCTGAAATGTATTGTTTCTTTTTCTGCTTATCCTAATGTAAGGACAAGATTTAACATAGTTTGACATGTTGCTAAACTGCAAATTTAAATTGTTCAGCCGATGTTTTTCAGATTATAGGGAAGATGAAGATTTTATGTAATGAATGGGTTTAAGATGACATGAGCATGTTAAACTACTGTACTGGTTAGTCAGTGATGGTTTTTGCATTTATTTAGAGTCTAATTTCCATATAACATAAAGAGGGGGAAAAAAGTTACCATTTAATTACCTGTGTTTAACTACCTCCTACTGAAATAACCTACCTAAGAAGTGAATGTCTTTTTGTCTCTGGGCTGTAATAAACAGGGACAGTCATTATCCTTTTCTATCACAAAGTAAACATTTTGGGGAAAAATTAAGAAACTAACTTACTTCAGAATATATTCGGTCTACAGTAAAATATCTACTAGGGGATCAACATTAAACTGCAAACAATCATATGTTAATAATGGCTAACCAATAAGAAACTTCTTTTTTTAGGAAAAAATAGTCAAATTAAAGTGATTCCCAAATCATGATCTGCAGACTGTAGTAAATTATTTATATCCTATGCTTGTAATTGTTTCAAACAGTATTTTCAGATTTCATGAAAAACTGAAGTTGTAGACTATTGTATGAAAGTTGGTATGAGAGATGATGATGCTGGGTCAGAAAAGTTGGGAACTATATATTTAACTTAGGAAGACCAACTGGTGGCTTAAGTACTTCAATTTAGATCAATATTTTTTCCTCCCTTTACTCTTTTGTGTTAAAAAGAATCAAGTTTATTTAGAAAGTGTACAAGAGATGTGAGTATGCGGTGACTTTCTCCCTGCACCACCACCCCGCCCCCATCTCAATTGTATCTTTTGAATTTTCTCTTTTAGCTTGTAACACTTCAGGAAGCTAAATTGCTGCTAAATGAGGATGACTACCTTATTAAGGCTGTATATGACTACTGGGTAAGAAAGCGTAAGAATTGCAGAGGGCCATCTCTCATCCCCCAAATCAAACAAGAAAAGAGGGATGGCTCCACCAACAACGACCCTTACGTTGCCTTCCGGAGGAGAACTGAGAAGATGCAGACAAGAAAGGTAACTTGTCAAACTTTACTGTTTTAAAGTTGTCATTTTAAGTCCTACAGTGATAGGAATAATTTTGATTCCTGTCTGGCATCTTGCAGGATCTGTCCTATGGTATCCACATGATCTGATTGTCTCTATTAATAGTTGCAATATTGGATGACCCAGCTAAATCTCAGACCTGCTGAATGATGTAGTCAATGTGTAATCCATCAGTTCTCTATAGACAATTTACAGTCTGTCCATTTTTTAGAAAGGGCAATTTACAGGTATTGGCACATAAACAAGCAGCTGTGGGACTTGGTAGGTTGCAAACTTCCCCTTCTGTGAAAAAGGGGAAAATGATCCTCCATTTGCCATGGAGTAAATAGTTCAGGTTTTGTATTTGTGGCATGAATTGATTTGAACTAGGAAATCTGTAATTACTTGGCATTTTACATCAACTTTGTACATATATGCACTCAACCTTATTGTGTGCAGAATCAAGGTGGTAAAAGTGTTGTAGGAACAAAGTCTTGAATTCCTTGTTCTGACAAACTTCCACTGGGTTGATAGGGAATCTGAGCAGAAAGAGCATGGGGGGAAACGGCTGAAAAGTTCTTTTTCAGCTTAATCTGGAAAGTTGGGTTTTGTTCTCCTTTTGTGGCTTTGTCTACCAACTAGATTGTGCTTTAGGAAGTTTCTTCTGAGTGTACTTGTATGATTCTCACTTGCAGTAGCATTATGTAACTTTTTTGCTATTTATGTCTCACAGGTTTTGCTTTTGACTTAAAATTTGTTTAATCTTTCAATAGAATCGAAAGAATGATGAAGCATCTTATGAGAAGATGTTGAAATTAAGAAGAGAGTTTAGCAGAGCCATAACAATTTTGGAGATGATTAAGAGAAGAGAGAAAACAAAACGCGAGCTATTGCATTTAACATTAGAAGTTGTTGAGAAAAGGTAAAATTGCAAGTTATATCTGTAGGAAGTAATTTCTAACACCAAGGTTTTAATTTTTATCAAATAGGTTTGAAAACACCTCCTGTCATTTATTTCTGTATGGATGCTAGTCTTCTGCTGAAGGCTTATATAGCACCATAAACTTCAGAAGCTGAAATAGAATGGTTTTATGCAGACTGTTTGCCTGTTTTGTCTTTCAGACATTTCCCAGTGGAAATGCAGTATTATATTTTTAATTGTGTTTTTTTAAGGTACCATTTGGGTGATTATGGAGGTGAAATCCTCAATGAAGTAAAGCTTAATAGACCCGAAAAAGAGATGAGCACAACTCCATCCACACTTCATAATGGAAATCATCACAAAGTTCAAGAATGTAAAGTTAAGGTAAGCTTTCTTCTGCTGCGTGTCTCTTGTTAGTGGTTTCATCATTCTTTTGGATATACCCTGCAGACGTTTGCAACGGAAAACTGAGTAGGAGGCTGCCATACTTGGAAGGTAGGAGACCGGGAGGCTGCTGTGCTTGCTTCCAGTTTAACATTTGTTGTCTTTCCCACCTAAGTTTTAAAATGATTGGCTGGCATTGCTGTTTGTTTCTTTAAACAACAGCAGTGTAGTAGTCTTCATTTTCCTTCTCAGTTCTGTCTCGTCTCGTGTAAGGTGTTGTAAACATGAACGTGCTAAGTGGACATCAGGACTTTGAGATTGCAAAGTATAGCGAATTATTTTTCCTTCTCCCTTCAAAGGGAGACCAGAGCACTGAATTTTTCTGATAGTGTTGTCCATGAGTACTGACTGGCCCTCAGTGCAAAGATAGTCCTGAAATTACAGGATTTTACTGAATTACAGCAAGAATGCCAAGGGATTCTAGAAATTATTCTGAACTGTTTCAGTGATCTTTCATTAGTAACATTTCCAGGCACAAGAATGCAACTGTTACATCTTGTTGACAGCTGAAAAAAGTTGCAAGCAACAAATGTTTTAAGAAACTTACTGGAATTTGTAGTAGTTTGTTATTACTGAGGCCTGTACGCTTCTCAGTAATACTGAGTAGGCATTTTTATATCTGCCGCTGCTTGGTCCTCAGTATTAGATAAGTAGCAAACATAGGAAGGTGGAAGAAAGAGCGGCTAAATTTGGGAACCTTTAGTTTCTGCAAAGGGATGGAAGGCTGCTCTGAGAGAATGAGCGGAGAAGGATGTAAGACTTGAGTTGCTGTGTGTCGCACACTAGTTACTTTGTCTTTCTAAAACCAGCAAAGTTGTGGAATGCTACTTTGACAAAGTCTTCCTTTACATTTTTTTTCAATCTGTACAGAAACCCAGTGGATCTAGTTTTATTTTTATAATTGACCTTGTTAGTAACATCCGGAGAAGTAGTAATATAAGAATAATCCATAGCTAGAAATGCTAAACCGTAATGGTTTTCTGTTTTCTTGTCTCATGAAGAAACTTACTCCACTAAAAAAAAAAAAAAAAAGAGAGAGAATCAAAGGGAACTCTGTCTTCTGTCACTGTTCAGATCCAGTACCGAATCGGATCGTAATGTTTTGTAACTCATTACGATCTCCCTACATAACATCTTCCTACATTACATCTTTATCTTTACATCTGTGCAGAAGAGAATTAAAACACTCTTTTCCGGAGGATCCTAGTTAACCGTGACTATGACTGTATTTGTTGGTTCTGGTGACGTGTGGTTCCAATAGAATTAAATGAAAGACAGTAGTATAATCATAAGCAGCTTACACTACAAGCAGCAGTACTGACAAATGTATCCATCTCGGGTTAATGTTTTTAAAATGACTACTTCAGAATAAGGTTTGGGGTTTTTTGCAGTTAATACGGGCATTAATTGCAAAATTAACTGCTTCCAATCTCAGCATAATTGTATTCCTACAAATAGTAGTTCTGCTTGTCTTGTTTCTACTTCTTCATGCCATGTTTCCTTTAATTGTTACTTAAGCCATAAGTATCTTTTGTCCTTCTTAGGAGCTATCTTTGCTTTAAAACATAAATATTAGACAGTCATGTTTTTAAAACAAACAAAACCCCCAAACAAACCAAAACCAAAAAACAAGTTTCCACTGCAGGCCGTTTTAATGTCATCGTTACAGTAAGCTCACTGAACTGAGTACAGTATAGAAAAAGGGTAAGACCTGATGTTCCACTGTTAATGTGACAGGAAAGAAAAAATGCACCCAACTTTGAATTAAGACATGTTTTTGAGGAAATAACCTGAAATACTAGTAGTTATAAAACGCTTGGTTGTAAGGCTGGAGAGTTGCAGACCTCTTGAAATTTGTATTTAGCACCCGCGACACCTAGCGGTCCCTGCACTTAATGCAAATCCCTTGCCTTGGTTCTCCTGCAGGAATTCTGTTATGCCGTGTCTTACCTCTGGTTATGAAGCTGAGCTCCATTACTGGAGTTAGTTTCAGTCAGCCGGTTATTAATAAGTGGTAATTTGGGGTAAATTTAAACACTTTTTCAAAACTGCACTGGCTTTTACTTGTAAGTGAGGATTTTGCAAGTGAGTCTTCCTTTTAATTTAAAAGCTTTGAAGTTTAGTAGCATTTGTGTTGAACAGTTTAGTATTGATGGAGTTGCTTACTACAGAGGGTTTATGTTAGCAAAATCTTAAATAGCAAAACCAAATAACATTACATCTTCTCAAAAATATAAACTATCTGAAAAACGTGAAACAAATTAGATCGTTTCTTTTGAATGTATCTGAGCAGTTCAGAAAATTGAAAATGTTTGCAATAGAAAACTGAGATTTCAGAAAATAATTGGAATAAGATTTCCAATTACAATATACTGAGTGTACTGCAAAGCAAGGAACCTCTTAGGTAGTCATATGGCTTGAAAGCTTTCAGTTTGTTTGTTAATAAATATCTGTAAAGACGATCAGAGGTGAAGTTCTGGGTTTTTTAATGTTTTGAATAAATTTTGCATTATGTGTCTGAAATAGTCTGCAGATGCTGCATGTTGAAGGACTTTGGAAGGCATGAGAAGAGGAAAGATTAATTACTTTTTTTTGAATGTTTTGTTTGTTTTTCACAAACAGCATCCTCATCATTCATCTCTAAAGGAGGAAGTGTCAGATGTTGTACGTCAAAAGAAGAAATATCTGAAGAAACCTAAAATAGAGTGTGTAGTAACTCCTCAACAGCCCTCTGCGGAGCCCTTGCCTGTAATCAACAAGAGCGATATTAAACAGTATGACTTCCACAGTTCAGATGAAGATGAGTTCCCGCAGGTAATACTCGGTTACAAAATCTGAGCGTACAGGCGGTAGAAGTTTCAGTTGCCTCTAATTTGGCCAGTCTAGCTTGAAATGGAGAATAACTCTGTTGGACAGTGGATATATATATAAAAAAGATACTTGCATAAACCGTGAGTTTGTTTTCTTCTTTTAAGCTATGCTTCAGAGAAGTTTGCATTTAATATATAAATGTGGCAGTTCATATTATATAAATATAAACTTGTAAAATAAATAAATAAAATTATATTATATGAATATGGCAGTTGGAAGAATGATTTTGCTTTCTGGTCTAGGTACCCTCACCAGTATCGGAAGCAGAAGAAGAAAATGATCCTGATGGACCTTGTGCTTTCAGGAGAAGAGCAGGCTGCCAGTATTATGCTGTAAGACTACCTGCTGTTGGATTTAGTGTGCTGGTTTTTATTATGTTGGGTTTTTTTAAATTTAGATTGGCATAGTGCTAATGTAATAGTTCTTCTGTTCCCACTTTCACCACCAAAGCTTTGATGATTTGGTGAATCCAAAGACAATTGTTTTCAGTCTTCACGAGAATTACGCTCATTGTACTGTTCCTCTGTGGTTACCTGAAGGTAATATAATATGTTGCCTGCAGACCAATTCAGCCACTGTTAAGAAGGGAGAGATTTTTTGTCCCCCTCAGTTTTCTTAGCACGTGCTTTCTTCCCAGCTTGTAGAGCTCGTTAGAGTTAGATACTAGTTGTCCCAGCTCTCAGACCTGCTGAGAGATCCTACTGTGGCGTTGAGTAGAGTCCAGTATTGAAGCGGAGGGGTTTAATCTGTTGAGGATTTTTTTCATATAGTTAAATCAAAATTTTCTTTTGAAATCAGTGCAAACTGTAGATATATTGAAAAACATTAGGTTGCAATTCCAAGAATGTGCCTGGGACAGAGACTAATTATAGATGTCCTGTATTCATCTCAGAACCACCGACAGTGAAATTTTTTTAGCAAGCATGTGCTTATAGATGGGGAGCTTTAGGCTGCAGAGGACCAAGGAAGTCAACACAACACTATAACGGGTCTGGTTTTTCTTTGCTTGCTTTCCATGGGAAGAATGAAACTACATGACAAAGTAATTGTGTAATTGTGTGGCTTTAAAGCCACTTACAGAGAAGTCATTTAGTCACTAGGTGGGCTGTTTCAGAAGCCCAAACATCCCCCAGAATACTCAAATTATGGCATGGGCATCTGCCGCAAGTTGTACTGAAAGTTCTTTGCACAGGTCACATGTGTGCTGGCACCTGCTCCTGTGCCTGCTTTGCAGTGTCCTGTGTTGTAGTCATTTCCAGAATACCACAGACAACTTGATCTTTCCAAGATGTCATTATTTTTAAATACTCTTCTTCTTTTAGAGATTTATTAGTGGGTTATTTAAGATATACTTGTCTCTTTGCCACCTGTTTTTTGTGTGGCCTCTTAATTTACTTGTTCTTTCAGTTTGGGTGAGTTTTTTTTCCTGTTGATAGCTAATCTACTCACCCTTTCTGCTTAGCTCCAGAGGGTTGGCTGAAGCTTCTTTCTTGCTTAGAATTTGTCCTACTTTTTTTTTTTTCTTAGCCTGTGAGTTAACTCTTTTGCCAAAGGAAGTTGAGACGACTGAAAACTTGTATTTTGATTCTTTTCTGTTACTTTTCCATTGCTGTTTAAGGCTGTTAAATAACCTGCTTCTAATGTTTGCCTTTTAGGTTTTTTTAACTACTGAAGCCATTTGAGTTTTAGTTAACTCTTAACGTAAATTGATTAAATCTGCAGCACTACTGTTGCTGCTGTTGCTGTAGGTTTAACCTGATCACAAAAATTGATTATTTTAATGAATATTTATTAACCTGTCATATAAGACATTTCAGACAGCACACAGCATTTCTGCTTGTAAAGATTATGCAGTTTTGAGTTCATAATAATAACGAAGATATTCATGAAGTAATAAAAATGGCCTAAGGTAAGCTGATACGGAAAATACAGTCAAGATCTGGTAATTGAATGCTGTGTATTGGAACAAAGGCCATTCAGATCAGCATCTGTTACCTTTGGCGGTATGTGTTTCATGACTAAAACTAAACTGCAAATTGAGGAACCCCTTTTGAAAACCTGCACACTTAGGTTGCAAGCTATCTGAGTTGGGAATTGTTACTTTGCTTTGTGCAGCTGGTGACTCAGCAGGATCTTTGATAAATGAACAGGCCTTCTTGGTATTTCCTTTGTCATAATAAGTACTAAAAGTAATCTATAGCGTGATACTTAGCACTGGCGTTGTGCATACAGTTTTGAGGTATTTCTATCAATTATTTTTCATAAACTTATTTTTACAGACAAAAGCCTTTACGCTACTGACCCTTACTAGCGGGATTAGACAAATTCATGAGAAGCACAGGTCCTCAACTGATTACAAAACAGTCAAGGTGCAGCCTTGCCTGCAGGAAGTCCTTCAGCTTCTAAGAGCCTGAAGTCCAGAGGCTGTAAAAAGAAAAGAATGGCTCCCTGTGGTTTATATCCTGTGATGAATCACCAAAGGAGCCATTATCAGACAGGAGGAACTGGGCCAGATGGACCTGTGTCTGAGTAGGACAGTTTTATGTGCTTCTTGGTAGAAGGAATTTTTTCTGGTTTGTTCTATATTTTGGTTGTGGCGTCTAATTTTATGACTAATCAAGGAAAGAGGATTTTCTGCTTCATGAATTCATGTATTTTTTTTAAAAAAAATTTTCAAGTTCTTTTATGATCTGAGCATATTAATCAAGTGATAGTTCTGTGGGCATTTTCAGCATTTTTTTATACTGTAGCCTGTGCATGATAATCACTTAGTAGTACCCTAATCAAAGTATACACTCTAAATGAGTGCAAAATTGCCTCTTCTTTTTTCTTTACAGCCTCGTTTGGACCAAACTAATTCTTCATATGAAAACTCAGAATTGGCAGAATTGGACAAACTGAGGTTCAGGCATTGCCTTACAACCCTTACAATCCCAAGAAGATGTATAGGATTTGCAAGAAGACGAATTGGCAGGGGTGGAAGGTACAGTTGCGTTATTTTTACTCTTCATTCCCCTTCAAAGAATAAAAGTATTAGAAAGAGATAGTTAAACTAATGTCTTTTTTTTTTGTCTTCTTGAACCAGGGTTATAATGGACCGAATATCCACAGAACATGATCCTGTCTTGAGACAGATTGACCCGGAAATGCTGAACAGTTTTTCAAGCTCTTCCCAGACTTTAGACTTTTCTTCTAATTTTTCACGGACCAATGCTTCCAATAAACGTTGTGAAAACAGACTGTCCCTTTCTGAAATACTAAGCAATATCAGATCATGTCGACTGCAGTGTTTTCAGCCAAGGCTACTAAATCTACAGGACAGTGATAGTGAAGAATGTACCTCATGGAAACCAGGGCAGACTGTGAATAATAAAAGAGTTTCTGCAGCGTCTGTAGCTTTATTGAACACCAGCAAGAATGGCATATCAGGTAGGCAAGGATTTGAATTCTTCTGGAACTTAAAATACTGAATTCCAGTGGTTTTACTTGTGACTGGTCTGATAACATCTTCAGCAGTGACGTGTGCCTAGATCAAAGGGACAAGCTAATTATTTTGTATTTCTTAGAATATACAGAAATTTTCCACAAACAGTCCTCTTCCTACTGCTGTTATTTCACTTTCAATAGAATCTTGATCAAGTGCTGGACTTAAACATGCATTATCCAAAGGAGGGATTCTGCTTGTATTTAAGAATTGCTTAGGTGTGATTGAGTCTTAAAGACTTTAATTGGCCTAACCTTGTTTAAGGAAAGAAGAATGCTGTTTATGAATGCAAAAGAAAAGTGGTTGGTTTCTTGGAGGGGGGGTGTCTTTTTTGTTGTTGGAGTTTTTCTTTTTAAATCTTGCCAAAACATCTCGGAAAACCAGTAGTAAGTTAGTAAGCATAATGAGCAAGCATGAAAAAGTCTGAAAACAGTGCTTTCTGTTGATATCTGTCATAGTAAAAGTGTTGACACTGGAAGCATCCAATGATGCACCTTCTCTGATCTTTCAGAAAATCATCAGCCATTGATTAAGTGTGATAGGAGATTGCCTTTTCCCTTAAATGTCATCTCTAACTCTCATCGCCAATGCAGCCATCTCTTACCATTCAGCTTTATGAACTGATAGCTCCAGATAAGCAAGACAGCCATTCACACATAAACAGTCTTTTTTTTTTTTTTTTTAAAAAAGGTTTCTTGTCGTATCTTCACAAGAATATAAAATATACGCAACAATTTTGATCTTTGTAGACCGTTTGTTAGCGATTTGGGTATAGAAGCAGTAAAGTTGGAATAAAAGCCACCAAAAGAAAAAATTGCTTTAAGTTTACATTAGCAGTCTTTAACATCACTTGCTTCATGTACTAGGCGTTGTAATTGCTTAAGTTTTAACATTGTCACTACTTTAAAATTGTAAAAGGATGTATGATTCTTTAAAAAGCTGAACAATTGGAGATATGCCAAAAGAGATCTACTACCAAGCATCGACAAGCGTCTGAGTATTTTCCTGCTCTATTGTGTATATACAGAATTAGGTATTGTAAAACAGGATAATTAGATAATATGATAGGCTGATTCTAAATCCCATCATTAACTTTATGTGGATGTGGAATGGTCCATCTCTTGAAGTCAGTTGCAGGATTGCAGTAACATACCTTTAGAATTCATGTGTAGAAATTAAGTTTTGTGAAGACAAAAGCAGTTTTCTCAATGTTAGCAGGATTGGGTATTTAATCTTCAATAACATACCTTTAGAATTCATGTGTAGAAATTAAGTTTTGTGAAGACAAAAGCAGTTTTCTCAATGTTATGGTCTTAAAAGACTGAGCGTTAGCTTATTAAGTAACATCAGTGTAGTACTGACATAAGCACAGGATACTTACTTTCATAAGCTAACTTTTCAGTATAGTCATTGTAACTTTTATATTGCGCTCTCTCTCGTGAAAAGATTTGCACAAGCGTATTTTCCTGCTGTATGAAGAGAAGAGACATAATGTGCTGTGGTCATATTTTGTATAATTCTTTTTTGTAAGGAACTTGAAGGGCTGGAGAGTTGCACCTGTAACAGAAGGGGGCAGTTTTGTGTGATGGGATTATTGATGAGGATCAAGACATGTCTTGTTAAAGCAAATGCAGAAAATAGAAAGGAATAATATTTGTCAGAGTTAAGGATGTGAAACATGGACCAAAAGCTGTAAGGAACAACGAAGAATTTGCTGGTAGCTCTTTATATAACAAGAGCAAGTAATACTGCAAGATTTCTGTTTGCGAGAATAAAGTATGATGACACCAAGGTAAGGAAAGTTGCTTAAAAAGACATAGGTTGAGTATTTTTTCCGTAGGATTTTTCATGGTGATATAATAAATATCAATCTATTATTTAAGGATTAGCTAGATGTAAAACTTCGAGGCTTTAAATTCTGCTCTGGAGAGACTTTTTTTTTTTCCTCTGAGGGTGGAGTCTACCTAAAAACGAGGAGAATATTTTGGGATGGAAGCTGATATATCTGATTTTAATCATATTTGAAGAAATGAGTGAAGGAAGAAGGTTGAAGAGATTTGTGAAATCTCCATACCCAGCTTTAGTATTAAACGAAGATTGCAGCAGTGGAAGAGAACTCCAGTAGCTAGAGGAAAGATGGCACAAAAATGAGAACAGTGTTTAAGCAGTATATTCAGGGAAAGGGAGGCCTGTGTTTTGGTAGGGAACTGTGTATACGTAAGAAAAAAATGTCAGCCCTGGTGCTACATGGCAAATTAATGACAGACCTGATATACACATGTGGACTAGCACTCGTGTACTTCAGGATTTGTACTTTTAGGGGAAGAGAATTAAAGGAAAAGTTGGAGAAATATGCATTTTAATGATGGGAGAGACCATAGAGAAATATGTTAAAAAAAAAAAAAATGCATAAAACCAAATCTGGTGGATCTAAGCCACTTTGTAGAGGAATGGTAATTAACTTCTGTTATATAATCTTAGAAATCATCTGAAGAATACATTCAGATTAGATTAGAGATCACTCAGTAGTTGAAGTACATTATGCAGGGAAATTTATGGTTATGGAAGACCTTTTTCTTTCCAGATTTAAATTACAAAAAAGATCCTGTAATTCTGGTAAAGGATCAGATGCAATAGACAACAGAATTCTTCACCAAATAACTGAGCCAGCAAGAGGCACTGCTGTTAGATTTTCTCCTTAGTAAATAGTGAGTAAATTTTAGAAGGGCTGGTCAAGGTCTGGTTGTGCATTAAATGAGCACAGGTACTATCACTGCATTTATTAAAGTAATTCTGTTTTGGAGATGATTGTTCAAATCAGTTGATTTTATAGAACACTTACCTGTAAGCATAAAGCTACCTCTAGAGGAAACAATGACAGTAGTTAAACTGATTGTTTTTGTTTTTTTTCTTTTAGTTTAGAGAAGACTTGGAGTTGCTTGCTTTGGTTTTCAGTGCACAAGAATATTTAAAGTTACCTCGGCATTATATTTTTCACTTGTATTAATAAAGCAACTCTTACTCTGGTATTTCCTCAAATGCTAGGCATTGTACAAACACAAAGAAAGACTTACTTTAAAAATGTGTGACTAGTCTTTTCTTGAAAGTGCCTAATCAGTGCGTGAATAAAGAACCACTGTTTCAAGCTAAATTATTTTCTTGCTTATGTTATAAGAACTGCGAACGGGAAAACTGAATTTGAAGAACTTTAAGAGACGAGGTCAAATCCCTTTGATCAGTTGTGTAAACTTTTTGTAGTCTTACACACTGTATCTGGAAAAGTAAGCTGGTCTCTTTGCCAGATACATCTCCAGAAGAATTATCTGTTTCATCTAAAATGAGATCAACTGATGAGCTAGGGATACAACCGATGATCAGGAGAGATGATGGAGGAAGGACGTTACCAGGAATTTGTAGATGGTACTACTTACGACAGCTAAGTAATACTTAACGTGCTTGCTGAATTCCTAGAGTGCAACTCAGCTCGTTTTTGGGACTGAAGCAAGAAGTAGGCTTTAGGTAAAATCTTCAGCAATTTGCAGTACAGTCAGTGTGTTGCATTTGGCTTCCAGTCTGCTTCAGCTGCCAGTTCCAATGACCCACTCAAATAGTTACCTGTTTAGTTACCACGTCCCTAGATACAAACGACAACTGCAGATGATGGCATTCTCAATTGAAGAGTTTTGCTTATGGAACAAGCTTTTACCTTTTAGAGGGGTTTGTGGTTTTTTTTCCCCCCAGAATCAAATACAATGTAGAAATAATTAGATTAATGAAATATCACTTTTGGGGCAGCCTGAAAGATGATCTTTGATTAAAGCTTTTAAATCCTAAGAGAAGTGACATCATAATCCACATCAAAGCTGTCAAGGAAGAGAGGAGCCTGGAAGACTTAATTTCACATTGGCTTTTTTCCCTGTTCTGTTGTAGTATTTTAATACAGTCAGGCTATGGTAAAATAGAAAATACTGATACTCAGCAGTGGAAGGTTAAAATTCTGGTAAATAGAACCTTTTGGAAGAAGTATAGAACACTTGCACTTAACTGTGACCTTAAAGGCTACCTTGGGACATCGTAGAGGTTTGCTGTTTTTTTTTTTTTCTAAGACCCTTTGCTATTTTTTTTCTCTAGGACCCTTCAGTTGTTTGATTTGGCAGAAGCGAATGATATTAGATGTGCTAATGAACATCTGCTGTTTTGTAACAAGGCTAACAGCTGAGTTCAGTCTGACCACTGAATAAATATCTGGTGATAGGTAGTGAACTGAGTGCAATTTAAACATGTAAAGGCAGAGTAAGCGATTTTTACATTACTAAGGTAATCTTCCCTGTACCTTGTAATAGAGTGTTTCATGACTGTGTCAAACTGAGAAGGAAGGGAGATCGAAAACATAGAATTGATGTGTAGGCTAAATTAGATGATCCTCTGATGTAGAGACTGCTTTCTATGTTACGTCTTTACAATCCATAGAAGAATGCAACTTTGAGTCTAGATGAATACCCCTGTACTGCAGACAAATAATAGCTAGTTACGGCTAAATGCAATTTAGGTATTTCTTTGTGCTGTATAAGCTTGTTCTAAAACATTTTTTTATAAAACAAAAGACATGTTCTGGAATTTGTTACCTCAGAACTTAAAAATAGAAATACATATATACGTAATGTTCCATAATGCTGTTCTTGGCTCTGTGGCCTTTAGTAATGCAACACGTTTTGGGAGACTGTTGTGAGGGAACTTAACAGGTTTAGCTGACTGAACTTTGAGTTAAGTGCTTGTAGTAATAGGTAAGTATCTTCAAGAGGAACAAAGTACAGCTAAATGTGAAATAAATTTGGTTTTAGAATATGTTGGAATTTATAATAAAATCCCTAGGATCTAATAGGAGTAACTGTATAAGTCATTGGATTTGTACATGCCCTCCTAACACGTTGAAGCCTGTTTTAATAATGTAGCAGTAGAGAAGAAGTTTCAGTACTAATTTCTAAACAGTCACAGTCTTAATTCTGGTATTTATTTCGAATGGAATTTCAGGACAACTGCAAGTATTACAACTAGTAAATGAAAGAGCAGGACCCTGAAAGAGAAACTACTTCATATTTTAATGTTAGCTCAGTGTCTCTTGATAAAATTATATTGCTGCAGAATCCAGGTGTTTGAGATGAATGACAGCTTCAGTCTTTGAAAAATACAGTGCAGAATAAACTGCTGAAATGTAGTTAATGGGAATCTTTGAAAAGTGAATTCTCTTTTTATTTCCTCGTAGGAGAACTTAGTTCTCAGGTTAGCATCAACTGCACAAAACTCAGGTTTTAACATGAAACACTTGACACTATTTTCAATTTATCAAGTGTGCAATTCTTCAGGCGGAGAATATTGAGAACAGCTTTTCTGACTTCACCATTCCCTTCACTTGTTGGGAGTATGGTACTACTGGGGTTGCATTAACCTGGTTCTCATAAATAAACAAACGTATTATGTCACTCTTAAACTCTTATTCCATTTTAAAAACAAAGATGGCGGAGAAAATCCTGTTCAGGTGAAACTTATTATTTCCTTCAGGAAAAAAAAGTGTGAAATAGTGTTCAGGTGAAACTTAAGCATTTCCTTCAGGAAAAAAAAGTGTGAAATAGGAAGGTCAAACTGGATTTGCTAAATAAACAGTGCTTTGTGATATTTGCAAACATTTACTAAGTTTTAGACCTGGAGGTTGGCTTTGTCATTGTGTATTAGTTTATAGTCCTTTCAAGTGAGAATTGGTATAGAACTGTAGAAAGGGAAGTTGTACAGGAATAAACAGACAGTGTTTACTGGGAGAGAAGACACCCAGCTCAGCCCAGTGTACTTCTTCCTCAGCTATGATTTTTAGGACATGCTTGTCTTCTGAAAACCAGGAAAAGAATTTCTTTAAGCTTTTGCTTAAAGGTACTGGAGAGAAACCCACCAAAGATAGAAACTGCTTAAAAGCAATGAAAGCTATGAATCCTTTTGTTATAAATTGTTTCAATGCTAAAAGAACACAACAAACAAATTCAGCTTGACCTCTCCTTTACATAAGAATATATGAAGATCTTTGCAAGCATCTAACACAATGTATGTTGTCTTCAACCACTTGTTATCCAACGCGGATGCACTCTTGCATTTTAGATGTATTTGTTTTGTGCAGGCCTATTTAACACTAGCTTCACTTTCTTTTTTGTAGTAACAGGGGGTATCACGGAGGAACAATTTCAGACACATCAACAGCAGTTAGTTCAAATGCAGAGGCAACAACTTGCTCAGCTTCAGCAGAAACAGCAATCTCAGCATTCCTCACAACAGACACATCCGAAAGCACAGGTAATGCACCTTCAATGTTATCATATGCTGATACCTTCCTTTCTGCTTACTGTGTTTTTTCATCTCTCTTACAAGCTAAATATAAGAGCTCAGTAAACATGTTAAATTTTAGAATGAATGTAGAATGGGTTTTGGTCAAGATGCTTTTCCAGTTTGCTGTAAAGTGCCCAGAAAGCAACTTGTGCTGTAGCTAGTACAAATACCTTGCTTTCATTTTTCTATCTGGAATGAGATAATATTTTAAGTTTCAACATCAAAACCTGTTGGTTTTTTTTAACGTGTTATATCATGGCTGCATTTTAAAATTTGAGTAAGAGACTTCATATTTTAATGTGTTAGTTGTGTCCACAGAGTCGGTCAGTGTAGAAATAGCCAGTGCTCTGTCAAGTCATGCTATTTTCACTGGTTTTATCCTCCTTTGTGTAAGTGCTCCAAAGAGACTTCTTTATTACAACTACTTTATGAGGTAATGTATTCTGTTATGAACAGATGTTCAGTGAGTACTAAAAATTGGTAGCTTCTGAGAGGAAAAAGGTAGTTTTGCATATTTAATTTGATTCCTTCCCTATCCCCAGTGTTACTACTTCTGTCTTCTAAAAGAATCACATTTTTCCTCTGTAATGCCTTGCAAAAGGGAAGAATATATGTTTTTCTGTCGAGCCTAGTTTTCTGTTAGTTTCTTACCAAGAAAATATAAAAGCTGTTGCTGTTGTCTATTACTAGGAAAACTTAGTTTACTTTGAGCATATTGTATCTGATTGCCAGTGCTGTTTGTTCCTTCCCCTCAGTGTTTTCTACTTTGATTAATGTGTGGATGGTTACTGATGGCATTTTTTTTTTTTAAGTGTAAAGACATGATACCAGAATATTTAAACAAAAGGAATGAATTTTGGATTTTTAAGACACTCTGAATGTCTATGGAAAGTAATTTTCTTAGTTAATATAAATTGAAATTGCAGAATAATACATTCAGCCATTTCAGGGTGTCTTTCCAGTACTTACCAGTCTTTCAGAGAAACTGGACTAATACATGATGTGTACTTCCAGAACGTGGTGGGCACTTATGCTGTGGTACAAATTACTTAGTGAGAATGAGTGTACCATAAATACTGAAAATTATTTAGACTTGCAGTTGCAGTGTATTTGCTGCTTGGAGTCAGAAGAGAGAAGAAAACTTAAGGCATAGTCATTTTCTTAGAGGAAACTTCTCAAACACATAGAACCGTAGAGTGGTTTGGGTTGGAAGGACCTTAAAGAACATCTAGTTCCAACCCCCTACCATGGACAGGGACACCTTCCACTAGACCAGGTTGCTCAAAGCCCCATCCAACCTGGCCTTGAACACTTCCAGGGATGGGGCATCCACAACTTCTCTGGGCAACCTGTTCCAGTGCCTCATCACCCTCACAATAAAGAATTTCTTCCTAATATCTAATCTAAATCTACCTTCTTTCAGTTTAAAACCATTACCCCTCAGTCCTATCACTACACTGCCTGATCAAGAGTCCCTGCCCATCTTTCCTGTAGGCCTGGAAGGCCGCTATAAGGTCTCCCTGGAGCCTTCTCTTCTCTAGGCTGAACAGCACATCACGGAAGTGATTTGTCGTGCTAAGAACTGCGTTTGCCATTGACTGGCTGAATTGGGCAGGACTTAACTCAACACTCATTTGGACGCTAATTTTCAACTTTTCATCAGATTTGCGATACGGAAATATTTAATGTTACGGTGCATTAGATTACATTTAGAAGATGTATTTATTTATTTGCTGGTAATTGTGCATTATAGCAATCCTAACATGGTATTTCATTTTGTACTTGGATAATTATAAAGAAAATTTTTTCTTTTTTTTTCTTTTCAATTCCCACAGGGCTCCAGCACCTCTGACTGTATGTCAAAAACACTTGATTCAGCCAGCGCCCACTTTGCTGCATCTGCAGTGGTTAGTGCACCTGCTCCTAGTCGCAGTGAGGTAACGAAGGAACAAAACACCAGCCACAACAATATTAATGGTGTTGTCCAGCCTTCAGGTGATGATTTCTTAAAACTTGTGGTCTAGTGTGAGCTGAGAATATGTCAACCGATCTTATTTCTGATTTCTAAGATAACTATTTAATAAACAAAAAAAAATCAAATGTATTAATTGTGATAGTTTTAAATATTGTTCTTTAAGATACTTCTGTGCAATGGCATGCAGGTTAGTATAATAATAAAACTACCAAATGCTCTTTTACATTGGAAGAGCATTGTTAGTGTTTTCTAGGCTTTTATCTTTTACTAATCTGTTATGATCAAAAGCCTAAGTGACAGCATTTTAAAAACTGTGAGTGTGTAATTAAAAAAAATCAGTTGCTTAAAACATTAAGTACTTTGAGAAGGAAATAGAAAAGTTGCTGTATTATTTGGTCATTCTCTCACTTGCGTATTCAGACAAAAGATACTAATCAACTACTTCTAGCAATTATTTTGACATTACTGTAAGTTTCAGATTTCATTGCATTAGGATTCCTCCCAAATTCAGGCAAAAATGCAGACGTTGGCATTCACTACCTTGCCCACCCCTCTTCTGAACCTCCATTACCAAAAGGCAGTAATGCCAGTCATGCTGGTGCAGTAGCCATGCTGCCGAGAGACAAACGTTACTTGGAATTTGACTGCTATAACAAATAAAAGGCTTTTAGAGTAATTTGTTGTTTTAACAGCTAATGATGTCATTAGTTTTATAGACCTTCTGCCAGGCTGGGTTAATGATAATATGAAATGAATAGAGGAGAGAAAAAAAACCCACAACTGAAAAAAATCAATATACTGGAACAGTTCCAGGAAAGAAAAAGACATCTATGTATAATTCTCTGAGATCATATCTGAGAGGGTAATGTTTTGAGGGGTATAAGATCAGGCACATGGTAGTATACCATACTGATGCATGGTACACAGCTTTACAATTAATGAAAACCATTGCAGATATTATGCATATAAAATTAGACTTCTGTTGCTGTTCCAAAGCTGTAAGTGGCAATGATGTAAAATAGCTATTCCTATTTGGAGTAGGAAGATTTGTAAATCAGGAAATGTTAACTGAAAGCAGATTTTTTTTCAGGAATAAGAATCTAGGGGAAAATGTATCTGGTTTCCCTGTGATCAAAATCAGAACAGTGACTAGCTAGGATACCAAGATGAAATTTGAGAACCTCCGGTTTGAATATACACTGTGAAACCTGAAGCTTCTCACAACTCAGGAGTGCAAACGGGGCACTGCGGCGTAATCTGAAAGGAGTTTTCTACTTTGCCTAGTCTTAGACCCCTAGTTTTGCTGGGAAGGAGGGAGACTTGTCCCCAGAACCTCTTTATGTTGCCAGCAGAACGAGGTAGGAGGTGAGGAGGTGATTTGAAGCATCAGAATTTGGCTTCACAGTCGGCCTCAGGTTGCCTAGCTAAGGTGTTCCCCATTCGATTTACTTCTATGGGGAATGTTGCCCCTCTAATTTAAGGCACCTAAAATGAGGTGTACAAAGCTGGGTGATGTAAAAGTTCTTTGTCATACGGTAACTGCTTTCACTTTCTGATATTATTTTGAATGAAAAAAACCCATGAAATATTTCTAATGTTAACTGTAATATTTCTAAAATTTTACATTTTGTGGATCTTTAAAAAACATTGCATTTGCACAATTGTTTTGGATTGTTGCACAATTCCAGTGACACATATACTTAAAGCATTACCCTTGAGGTTAATCTTTGACTTTGAATCTGAGGAGTGGCGTATTTTTAATTAACAACATTTGTTTTGTAACAGGAACCTCTAGAACTTTGTACTCCACCAACATGGCTTTATCATCCAGCCCAGGGATTTCAACTGTACAGCTTGTAAGGACAGTTGGCCACACCACCACAAACCACTTAATTCCAGCGTTGTGCACAAGCAGCCCTCAAACGCTTCCCATGAACAATTCTTGCCTGACGAACGCAGTGCACCTCAACAATGTCAGTGTTGTTTCTCCAGTCAATGTGCATATCAATACAAGGACTTCAGCACCATCGCCAACAGCCTTAAAACTTGCCACAGTTGCTGCCAGTATGGACAGAGTGCCAAAGGTAACTCCTAGCAGTGCCATCAGCAGTATAGCAAGGTAAGTGTGCAGCAAGTTGGAGCAGTTTTAAGTTACCTTTGTGCTATATGAATGTCTCCATAGATGTGCCCAACGCTGCACTAGAGCACTAAATAGAATTGTTTCCACCTCTAAGAGACTTCTCAGTGTAGCTTCAACCTCACAAAAACGTGCAGCTGCTGGCATCTTCAGCGTGGCTGCGAGAAACCACAAGAGCTGATTTTGCAGATTAACCCCCAAATAATTTGCACTGGTTTTACGCACCAGTAGTTTTGGTAAATTTCCATTGGGTTTAAAATGGCTTCATTTTAACCATTTTCATTTGTCCCTTCTCATGCAGCACTTTCAGGTAGATTCTATCAAACTCTCCACATGTTCTCTCCATAACTTTGTGTACCCATATTGTACGATGCAGGCTGGGACATACCTATTTTATATATACATATGGATATATGCATTATATATTTATGTAGAATAAAACCAGATATCTGCCAGTCTGCATCTTTTGTATATAGACAGGTATTTATTCTCATTGAACAGCAACACTTACTATTTCAGGATACTCAGAGGCGTATCTCAAGTCATGTCAGCAAATGCCTTAAAAAGTACCACCTTAGCTGAATAGGTCTTAGGCTTCTTTACAGAGAATGATAATAAATTAGAAAGAAAATTAAGATTTCTTGCGCTAGTGCTAAAGCGGAATTGGGGTGGAGGTGGGGAAATTATGTTAGAGCGATGCTTTGCTCACTAACAGAAAAATTGACAATTGATACTGAGTCATCATGGTGTATCTTGACTTTGCTCCTTCAGGGGACTTTTTAGTACTCTTATCCATAATTTAGGCTGGTAATGTACAGTTAAATGCAATAGCCTTGTAGAAGGGACTGCACTGTTAGTGGAGTAAAAGCAGTTCTTAAATGCCAGTATTTAATGTTAAATAATCTGTTTCTAGTGTATGTGTTAAGGTTTCTCCCTGATCCAGGCAACAGCTGTAAGCTGTTACATAGCGCATGTAAGAAATTAAAACTGCGTAAGGAAATACTCATGTTCTACCTGTAACTATTGAATATTTCTTTTATTGCAGAGAGAACCATGAACCAGAACGACTGGGTTTAAATGGCATAGCAGAGACAACAGTAGCGATGGAAGTGACATAACCTCAGACCAGTGTCTCAACCTGTGCTAATGGTGTAGTCATTTATATTCCAACTGAATGCAAAATACAGCACTCTGTGGATCACAGAGAACTAAAATGGACCTAAATGGACTGTCATTATATCGTGTATTAAGTCGATATATAATGTAAATTTTGTAAAATTGGGAAAATCACTACCTTGTAAAATAGTTTATTTGTATCATCAATATTATTTCTGTTACTTGAATAGTAGATATTCATCATCATGCTTTTGCACTTGAATTTGCAACTGAATGGATTAAAAAATAATTCTTTAATGGGATCATGAGCATGAAATGGGATCCTGCATCACTTGTTTTAACTATTTATTTTGCCATGTTTACATTTTGTATCTTGTACAAATAAATCCAACTTTGTGTCTAAAAAAAAGTTAAAGATTCATAGCTAGGAAACAAAATTCTTGTAATTTTTTTCTAAAGGAAATGTAAAGTTTTCACTTGGTTCATTTTGTTTCACAATTTGACTAGATGGACTTTTTGGTAAATACTTTAGTGGCATTTCACTGTCAAATATGAAGTTCAAGGCAAAATAGTATTTTCTATTACTGTGCAGGGGAAAGGGATGGATCGATACATGCAAATTTAATGTAGTAACTCACTTTTCCATATATTTTGAATGTATATTTCTATTTATAATACCAGTTTATAAAAAATAATTACACAGGAAAAAAAACTGACTAGGAAAATTATGCATCTAGCACATATAAAATTGTGCAGATATGAGAAAATTTTCAACTGATTACATTTTATCTGAAGACTGCATATTTTAACCGGCTTTAAAACTGTAACACACCACATAAAGGATATTTTACCAGGTATGTATTGCATTATATATCATTGCAATAATTAATTATTGGATGTCTAGATATCGAGCCATCCCAGGTGGTGGGGGGGAGGGAGGGTTGTGGCAAGATTGTCTTTTCAATTTTGGAGAGTTTTCCTGTGGCTACAAGGCAAGTAACGGGTTGGAAAAAGTCTGACTGTAAGCGTTGGACACCTTCGTAGTGTAGTGTTTTAGTGACTTTTTTTATACGGTTCTTGTAAATTAGATACGTGTAGTGGTGTTTCAGAATGTTTGTTTATGCACTAGTTCAGACAACTTTCCCTGTTACTTGTTCTTGATAAGTGAAAACTGCAGGGAAATAAAAATACATATCAAAACATGGACATGTTGCATATGTGTTTATTTCACAATGTGCAAGCAATATAAGTGTAAATTCTAGAGGCTATTAGTGGTCTTTGGATGATTTTGACCACAGCATATGCACTTTTTTCCCAAAAGGTTTCAGTTTATGTGATTATTTCATGTGCTTACAGTATACATACAGTAGGGGAGGGATGGTCTGGTAGTTGGGACCTGAGACCTGGGAATGATCAGGATGAGACAGTTTTTTGTTCTGCCAAAGAATCTTCGGGTATTACTTTGGGCGAGTTGTTTGAATTTTCTGCTGTTTGGTTCTCCACCTGTAATTTGGATAATGTTTTTGTGTTTCTTATAAATCATAGAATCACTGAAGTTGGAAGGAACCTCAGGATGTTGTCTAGTGCAGGCCCCTCCCTGCCCCCCAAAAAAGTCAAGATATGATTTGCCAATATGTCATGCAGTCAGTGTATTTTTCCTCTTAGCTTTTTCTATAAAGAGTTATTTTTAATCTAAGTTGTGTTTAAACATGTTTTGTCTTACGTTCTGTAAGTGAAAAGTTCTGACAGTTAAAAACACTTGCAGAGCTTTAAATAGTGGGAGCTTGTCAGAAACTCAAATGTCTAAAATTAACTATTTTTTGCTTAACTGATGCTTTATTTTCTATTCAGTGTGAAGTCCACAAGGAAAGATGATAATAGATGATATCTGTTGAGAATAGTCAGAGGAACACTTCCATGTCACTGCCTTGGTCAGGCAAGGTGCGATGGCAGGATTGGGGGTGTCAGCACGAGGGGGAGGCACCTGTGCAAATGCGTGCGTATTCACCGCTCTTGCTGCATCATGCCTTTATGGGAATTGCTGCTTCGTAATACATTGTTCTTTACGTCTACATGATCTTTTCACGTATGTCTGAGGTTTTCTGTAAAACTCGGTTCATTTCTGGGAATGACTATGATCAATGTAGTCTGAAGTATGAATGAATTTTTTTTGAAAGCAGAATTGGTGCAAAACTAAGTCTGAAAAAGAAAAAGGCTTTTCTCCTTGATATGTAAAAATAATGTTGCTTCTCTAACATATCCCCAAAACCCTTCTGAGGTTTAATGAAAACGTGAAGTCATTTATTCTGTGGATTGAAAGTTGTACGCTTAGCAAATGACAGCTGCCGAGCTCTGTAGTGTAGCCTCTTCTCACTACGAACATAGATCACTTTCATGCTAAATTGGACTGAAAATGTCTCCAAGATTGCTGTGTATCTATGACTTGGTATAGTCTCATCCTCATCTAATTACTTAGAAGCCCCAGCTAAAGGTTTTTTTAACTTTTAATGGATTCTGGAAAAATGTGAGGTGGAGAAAAGGATTTCGTAAACTCCAAAGGCTACATGGTAAGTATGCCATATGTTGAATGAGTTTCATTTAAAGGACTAGTATTGACGTAGCTTTACTGTAAAGTAAAACTATAATACATGTCTTAAGAATTTCTAGCAATTAATTGTGTGCCTGAAGTGCAAGAAAAGGAGAGTGATGAATAATACTGTAGTCCATAGAAATCTTCATTTGAAAAAAAAAAAAAAAAAAGGGAAGGGAGTATCGTTAGAAAGTCTTCTACTTTCTCCTGATACTGGTATACAGCAGGGAATACCAATGACACAGTTATCTTTGTGCGCTGTCTTAAAAGTGTGCGTTGAGGATATGACATTCTTCTTTTTTAATTCCCTTGTTTGAACATCATGCATAGCTGCAATATGATTTGAGTAGTGATTTCTGTTTTATTACGTGTTAGGGAATGTTGTTCAGGTAAGATTTTTGAATGTAGTTAATCTACAATTAATCTACAATGTAAGCAATTGATACTGGGCTTCAAGTGTAATGTTTTCCCTTAAATGTCAGATACTAGAAAATGATAATTCTTTTTCTAATAAGGTTTATCTAACGTATTTAATCTATAGATTGACTAGAGTTTTGGTATGTGTTTAATTGTAGGCATCTGGTTTCTAATTCTGCTGTAGGGCTTTTCCTTCTCTCTCCAAACAACATGTAAACAATATCCTATTCTATTTACAGAGCCATCCCTTTTCTTTAATCCTCTACAATAGACTGTATGTGTGGGTTTTTTCCTTACAAACAAGAACACAGTTACTCAGTGACTGCAGCCCTTTGCTGTTTTCCTGGGGCTCTGACTTTGAGACTCCTTTTCCTTCCCCGATAGTCCATTTTCCTCTACTACCTGCAACTCCTTTGTAGAGAATGACAGAAATGTTCCCTATTTCCTTATAACAGTAACTGATTTTTGAAGCAGAATCCTCAGACACTTCAGCCTTCCAGGAGGTGACTGATTTATCCTGAAGTGGACTCGGCATCATGCTCACAGCTAGTTAGCCTTCCTCTTGGTTTCCAGTACTGTTCAGGAACAACTGCTCAGACTTTGAGAATAGTGTGTCCTGGTAGAAATCCACATCTTCAAACAGGAAAGCTCTGAAGGCTACAGCAAACTAAACTCTTTATACAGGACTGTCATCTCAACAGACTTCCTGGATTTGACTTCAGAGAAATGGTTTCAAATCTCACTTCCCTATTTCTTCTGCTTTTAGGTTTTGCAATATTCAGACTTATTCTTAGAAGAATGGAGAATAACCTTCATAAATTAAAGCATCTTCCCAGCAAACTGCTACTTGGGATAGAAGAAAAAAGGAGACATCTCTGTAACACGGAGAGGAAATGTTTCCTGTGTAGCAGCAGACCCAGCAGTATAAGTTGGGTTAGCCATTAAGAGCCAAGTGTTTACATTTTAACAAAAGGCACATGGTGGATAATTGTTTTTCTCCTGATCTAACCAGCTAATTACGTGGAAAACATTAGATACAGGCAATTGTCTGTGAGCCAGAGCAGCTCTGGGTCAGTTTAATCTCCCAGGAAAGCCATCCAGACCCATGAACATGGAGACAGCGGTATGTTGGCGTGTGGAGCCCCGCTGCGGAACCACTTGTACCTGGGAAGCTCCCTAAAGCAGGCAGCTGCTTGGAAGGGGATTTCTTGGGGAAAAGAAGAGGTGGTTTTAGGCAGTTTTAGGATAAGGGCAGTGTTACTTGAAGCCAGGGCCCGCTGTGCACTAGGAGATGATTGGGGAATGATGTGGGGAGCAGATCCACAGTGAGGGCTGTGGGGCTTCCCAGCATGTCCTACCGTAACTGCGTTATCTGGAGTTTTTCATTCTGGGCAGGCTGTTGCTTCTCCTTAACAGAGGTCACATCGTAGATACCCTGCTACATTGCTCTAGCCTACATAGAAATAAAGAGCCTTTTAGCTATTTGTAGAGTGCCTAAATGCATTTAATGGCAGCATTTCTCTTGTAGGCCAGCGATAATGTGTGAGAATAGCGTATGTATGAAATGGGAACATATTTGGGCGATTTTCTTTACAAAGCTTTACTTAAATGGCCAGAAGGAGAATGTAAAGATGCACTTCTGAGAGAATGTAATACTGATTTCATTTCTATTTGGTAAGGAAGTCCGCTGGCTAAGAATATGAGTTTGAAGCAGGCTGCAATTCTTACTCCACATTATTCTATCCTTTTAAGCACCTAGTGCACCAAGTACTTGACTTGTGTGCCTTGTCCTCCTGCTAGCGAATACAGAGCTGCCTTAAAGGAGCGGCTTCAGAACACTTTCAGATGACTTCTGTTACTGAAGGTAATTGCATCTTGCATCTTCGCTAACTCTGTAAGGGAAAACCTGAGAATACCAGCCTCCTACTTGCAAGAACCCCACAGCAGTGTCTGAAGCTAGGTGATGTGAGGTTCTCACTTGTCCCTAAGTTGGTTTGATTGTGTGCTGTCCTGCTGCAGTGACGGTCAGTACCCAAAATGACGTTCCCTAATGTGAGAATGTTTGTTTCTGAAGTGCCCTTCCATTATACAGGAGGAAATGGGAGTTTCAAGTTAAGTTCCCTGTTTTCTCAGTGACTTTGCTTGTTTCAGTCACCTAGTGTATCTTGAAATGCAGGGTAATGTTTTTTCTGTGTGTGCTTTGGATTTTTTTAATGGAGTAATCTCAAATTAATGAAGAGCACCCATGCAAGTTACATTTTGTGATTAATTTAACCCCATTTAATCACAGTTTGTATTGTCACCCAGTAACTACAGTTTAAAGAAAATAAAATGTAGTTGGAATAGGACTAAAATCTGAAAACTAAAAGGGAGTAACTGTGGAGCAACTGAGCTGCTTCCTGAACATGGGCTTTGCCCACTCCTCAGAGGTTTTGCCCACTCCTTTCTGTCAATACCAGCACCATCATCCCATTCTTGCTCCATGTATAGTAGTGTTGAAGGTGGTGGTCGCTGTACCAACTGAGAAGATGATGTAGTGCAACCCAGCATCCCTCCCCAGTCGCAGGGCGAGTGGATGTGCAGGCATGAAGAGGCATGATGGCCCAAAATCCCCTGTGCAGAAAATCTGAGATGTCTTGAGCCCTACCAGTGTGCCAGAATAGCCTTTCCCCTGTACCCAGTCACACTGCTTTTTTTCCAAAGTTATGATTGTTTCTGTGACTAAGAATGGGAAAATCTGTTTAGTCCAATCTGGCTTCAATCCATTTCACACTGATTTAACTCTAATACAAATGTAGTTACACAGGGAGGGTAACGGAGAAAGATCAATTAGAGAGCAAGGAGCAAATGAAAGAGGGAGGCAGTTAATTAACACTATACTATAGCAGATAATGATAAGAGAAAATTTATAACAGAACAG